CACTCAAGCCCTTTGCTGTCAACACCAACTGAGCTCTCAGCTAGTAAGGGGGATCAGCTTTCAGCCATGTAAGTGAGTATGTTTTAGAACTTACTATCATGCCAGAGCACCAGCAGAAATGAAGGAGTAAAGCAGCAGAACTGACAAATCAACCCAAAGAATTGTCATAAATAATATTTTATTATCATTTTAAGAGAGTAAATTTTGTGTTGAGATAAGTTTAACAATTGTCTTAGAGGATCAATGCTGCTGTGATCACCATATTAGTTCAGATTTTGCTTTAATTCATTTTAGTTGAAACATTTAAGTACCCCACGCAGAGAAACCTTATTTTAATGTCAACTCTACTATTGACAACTGCTGAAACATGAGGGAAAAATGGAGCCTGAGTGATTAAATACACATGTTCAGAAAGCTATGGGCCTACCAAACCTGTTCTTGATTCCTCAAGCATTACAAGGGCCAGACAAACCAGGACCACCTGAGAAAAATGAGTGTGTCCTGAGTTAGGCTAACAAAATATTTTCAGCATAATATATGAAGGGACAAAAGTAAATAAACAGTAAAATTTAATTTCAGTGACAGCTGAACTAGTAAAATCAATTTGTTTTTCTCCTCTAAATATTCAAAAGTTATTTGGTTATAGAATTCTGCTAGATATTTTCATTCATAAAAACACTTTCTAAGGAGGAATCCAAAATCTTGGTTTTAAATATATAGTTGCTACTTTTGTATAATCGCTATTTTTAAACTCAAAACCCTCATTTCATTTACCATCTGGCCATCCACCCAGATCCTTAGTGCCTTATGCTTATATAATAGCGATAGTCTCCTACCCACCCTTCTTCCCACCACCATTCATTTTTGCATATTGCTACTAGATTAGACTTCATGCAGACAATACTCTATCCTGTCATTTTGGTTGCTCAAAGACCCATGGTAGCACCCACTTTATCACATAGTAAAGTCTAAAATCCTCTATAAATGGCTATATATATATGCTTGTGTGATATATATGTATGTGTAATCAATATCTATTTGTTTTTACTTCTATTGCCCCACAATAAATGATTTCATTCCAGAACCCTGGGGCTTCTCCCAGTTCCCTGAACATATGAGACACATTCTTTATTTTTGCCTTTGATTACATCTCACTTGTTACCTGAAATATTCTTCACCAAGATACCTTAATGTTAATTGTTAAAAACATTTGCGATACACAGTGGTCTTCAACTTTCTTTTGTTCATAGATCCTTAAAAGAATGATGAAAATCAATGCAATCCCAGCACATTTAAAGTGATGTTTTAAAAAGTCATCCTAAGTCTAAATACATGAAAATGATGCAATTTTCAGGATGTTGTACATATTACTATCACCAAATAAAACGGTTATGTAAGACTTTGATGCATATCCACTAAAATCGAAATGCCTAGTGATTTTAAATTCACTCTCACACTTCTTAAAATGTTTCTCCTTAACAATTAGAATCTTACTTCATTCTTTTTTTAATCCGTGAGTTCATATTTCTGGTCCACCTGACCCACAAAATATTTTCCCTAATATTTTTCACTTGAAAGTTTTTATTGATGACTATGTCATAATTCTTTGAAACAAAAATATGCATATAATTTGAAGCTATAAGTTTCCTGAGAACAGAGAGGAAATCTTTTTGAATATTATTATGTAACTATTATAATTTTATTACTGATGAAAAAACAAAAATATATCATACACTTTAAGAACTTATTTCAAAAATAAAATCACATGCTGAAGTAACTAGTAGGAGACTTGCCCTCTCATCATAAAAAAAATAGATAAATGGGCAAAATTTATAAAATAACATTGGACATTGACTACTGGCTGTAGGATTGTGATGCCTGAGGGAAGGGAAACAAAGGAGATTTTTGTCATAATTCTTTTAAATAATAAAAAAGCCAACCATATGGTATCTATCTAAATGCATTTTAAGATAAAAAGTGGAAAGGTTGAATTTTAACAATGGGAAAAAAAATTCTGTGCACACCCTAATCATGAGAAATTCAAATTGGCTATACTTATATCAGAGAAGTAGAGGTCGAGAAATAATATCAGGATTCAAAAGATTATTAATTAATGATAAAAGGATAAATTCATAAAATTAAGTAAAAATACTAAATATGTATACACCAAATAATAGAGCTACACAATGTGTGAAGAAAAAATTGAGAGAACTGAAAGGAGAAATTGACAAATTTACTATTATTTTTGGACAACCCAAAATCTCTCATCACTGGAACAAGTTGACCGATAATCAGTAAACGCATAAAAGACCCAAACAACAATATCAACAGTTTGATCTACTTGACATTTGAAAACCATCACATGCAACAACAGCAGAATCACATTCTATTCAAGTGCATAAGCAACATTTACCAAAGTATACTATGTGTTCGGTCAGATAACATATTTTATAAATCCGAAATAATACAACATGTTGCCTTATCAAAATGAATACAAATTAGAAATCAGAAACAAAATCACATGTGAATTATCCATAAATATTTGGGAATTAACCAACATTTTTGAGAATAATACATTTCACAGAGGAAAATTCTGAAACATTAGAAAACATTTTGCACTAAACGAAATGAAGTCATAAGATATCACATTTGTGTGTTACAGCTTAAATAGTACTTAGAGGATAATTTACAGCTTTCAATGTCTATGTTTGAAAAGAAGAAAGGTCTAAAATCAATGGCCTAAGCTTTCACCGCGAGACTCTAGAATAAAAGGATCAAATGAAAAACCCAAAGCAAGTAGAATGAAGGAAATAATAAAGCTAAGAGCATAAATCAATAAAATGGAAAACTGAAAAGCGATAGGGAGAAAAAATGAAACCAAAATCTGGTTCATTGTAAAAAGCAACAAAATTTATAACATTTTCGCTAGACTGATAAAAACAAAGGACATTGTCAAAAATTTAAGAGAAGCAATCACTACAAATCCTTCAGCTGTTATAGTGTAAAAAGACCGTATTGTGAACAATTTGGTGATAAATTCAACTCCTTACATGAAAAGCACAAATTTCTTGGAAAACGCAAATTGTCAAAAATTGTCACAAGAAGAAAATAGAAAAGCTGAATTGCCCTATATGGTTTACAAAAATTGAGTTTGCAAGTTAGAATATTCTCGCAAAGGAGATTCTGAGTCCGAATGGCTTTTCTATTGAAGTCTATCAACATGAAAGAGGAAATAATGCCAAACCTACACAAAACCTTCCAGAACATAGAGTAGGAACCACTTTCCAACTTATTTTATGAGACCAACATTAACTTGATACCCTAACTAGATGTAGACGTTACAAGAAAAGATAGCTACTGGTCAACATCTCTCATGGAAATAGACTCAAAAATCTTTAATCAAATATTAGAAAATCTAATCCAACAATAAATAAGTAGATAATACATCTCGACAAAGTCATATGACTATTTCATTAAATGCAGAAAAGCATTTCACCAAATTTAACACTCTACCTTGATAAGACCAAATTTAACAAACGAACAGGAAAGGGATCTGTGGATCTTATTGGCCTATCTGCAAATAAGCAGGTGTAATCTGGTTATTTTACTTAGCACATCAGTTTACTAAGATTTTATTATAGCTGACATTTAGACATTATTTTCAAAATTGACTTTATCCTCTTAGTGAATCCCAAATGAAAGTTCTCTTGGGGCTGTAACATGTACTTATACATTATAAAATATGAATCATTAATAATTAGGATTTAAAATATACTACAACTTGTGAATCATTTATAATTATTTTTCAACCATTTATGGAAAAGAACGGTAAATACTGTAACCAAATAAATTACGAACATATGTTTTTTAAAACCAAAAGAGAAAATTAAGTTTCTTATGACATATCACCAAACATCTTCCTAATGTCTCAGATTCAAGATAATTTTCAGAAATACCAATAAATTGCCAGGGTAGCTTAACGTCTCTCTCTAGTAGGTGCTCAAGATATTTGCTAAATGAAAACTTCCACTAGAATGTGAGCTCCTTGAAGACAAGATCGCGTCTTTTACATTCCTTTTTTTTATTTTTAGCGCTATAACAACATTGCACAGAGCTATTTAAAAACTATACCTTAAACTAAAACCATAAAACTCCATTACACTTACATGTTTTGTTTGTTTTTGGTTTGGTTTAGTTTCATTTCATTTTTTTGCTATTCCAAATAGAAAATCCATTTCATTTCAGAAACCTCTCTTAATTCTTCTATTGCTTAAGAGACTGTGACTTTTGCCTGGCTTATCTTTTATTATTGGAATTTACTTCTATTCTGTAGGCACCCGAGCTCTCAGTATTTATTGAACAGAATGTTACCTTTCATTCCAGTGGGCCCCTAAGTTCCTATTTTAAAGTTTTAGTAAGAGCTTGGGAAAAAGCCATTTTGACATTATCATTGTTTCTAAACCATAGAGCAACAATCTAAATGTTCATGAAATTGTACGACAGATGAAATATGACAAAACAAAAGGGCCCCAGGGAATTTGTAGTCAAGTAGCTCTGACATCTCTAGTATTAAACAAAACAAAAGCATGACTTGTCTAGTCTCTTTGATGTTTACCTATGAGATGTAATTAATGTTTTCATTCAAACGCTTTTCACATGATTTAGCACAGCCTGATGCACGATTTTAAATCCATCCATACATGACACAATTATTGTAACCCGATTTGCCCAATCTAAGTCAAAATATAACTGTAGCGACACTTAGAGCATGTTTCCTTGTTCCTGAGACATTACTTTCTCCATTTCCCACATTACTGATTTGATTACAAGCAGAGAGGGAATTTCATAATCTGTAGATAATTGAAATTTAGAAACTGACAGGAAAATACGTTTACAACATAAAGACAAGGCAGGAATTGAGAGAAACGGAATATCTTAAATAGGCTTTGAAAAATAAACTCTACCCTTCATTTCCACCTTTTTTATTCTCTCCTACCCAGGAAACGAAATCCTCCATGGGGCTTGCCTGTGAAATTGAGCCATGCATCATGACGTACTGTTCCAGCCAGGCCAGTCCCTGCTCAGGCACCACAGAACAGACTCCCACTGCACCTTCAAACTGCATGACAAATAAAGAATCGCCCTGTCAGAATTCCACCCTGGCTCACCCAAATTGACAAAAATTTTCTGAATTACACTGTTTCAGGGCTCCCGCATTGACAGGAGGCAGTCAAGCCTGACAGCCCTTTCCCTCTTGTCTGTTATCTTGAAATCAATTGCACAGCCTGATGCACAGAATAATGGCTGTGGACTATTCTGCAGGACTTGGCCCATCTGGTCACTAAGGAAGACAGCATTGCTGGCTTCCTATCGATCTGGGAGGAGCATGCTGCTACACAGAGGTGACCTCCATCTCTCCACCTGGCCCTGCTATTGAGGAAATCAGTTTCACGAGTGAGCTCATTCAGAAATGAAAACAACTTTGCACCACAGCGTATCCATCTTTGTCTTTAATTAAGAGCTCTTGCCTCTTTGGGATTAAATAGTGAGTTGTAAGCAAATGAAAGGGCATGATTCTCTGCGTCGGGCACCATATTTTGTGTTAAGTCCCTTTAGTTAAAGTCTTGAACAGATCAGACATTTCAGTAGAGGGAAATATTAATTTGGCTATTTTATGAAACTCCCTACACTTCATCTTTGAAGAAAATTCTTATATTAGTGGTATAATATTTTTATTAGCAAAGCTGATTAATGTTCCTACAAAGATTAATATTTCTCAAGTTGGTTCTCTAGGAAAATGATCGATTTATACTTAATTGTTTGAAGTTCATTACACAGCCTACCTGTTTTACATTTAAAAAGAATTGCATTATTGGTGAGTTATAATAAATGGACCCTGAATCTATGAAGGCTGCAAAATGCTCCTGACTTCCTTATTGGAAAGAAAGACGAAAGCAAGAAAAAAAGCAAGAAAGCAAGAAGAAAGAAAAACAATTACATGTTTAAGTTAGTAACATTTTTGGATGCTTATATTCCCACAGTTTTATTTTTATAGTTTGGTTTCTGTTTTTAGTATTAAAAATACCAATTAGTAGCTGGCTTTTATGAAACGTCTTCACGATTCAGTCTGTAAATTGCATATAGCATTACAAAAGTCTGCTCCTTGCATCTCCCGCCCCATTCTTGTCCTCCTCTAGCATATTCACCCAGCTGCCCAAAGTAATCTTTTAAGAACATAAGTCAACTTATGCCCCTTTCCTGCTCAAAACCTTCCGAGTGTTTCACATGTCACCCAGAATAACCAAACTCTCTTCCTCGACAAGGCCTATATGATTTGTCCCTCCCTGTCTTTCTGACATTGTCACCCAACAGTCCCCACTCTTGCTCACACCCTTCTAAACGGAGTACTATTCTTGCACAGGCCCACACTTTTCACCTAACTGTGAAGTCATGTGTTAAAATTCACTTGGTCACAGATGTCTATTAAAATATTAATATAATCTCATAGATTACAAGCCCCATGAGGTCAAGAATTTTGTATGTCTTATTTACCACTATTTCTAATGCCTAATAAAGTATGTATTCAATTAAGGCAGTATTAGTCTTCCGTTATCTCATATAAGTTCTATTAAGACAAGGTCTAAAAGTGACTCAACGTGTTTTGTTTTGTTCATCACTATATTCACACCACCTCGGGTAGTTCTTGAATATAAAAGTCACTTAATAAATGTTTGTTGAATAAATTGACCTATGAAAATAAATCTATTACATAAGCGCAATGGGAAACTGGGCCAGAATTCAGGATTGTCACAAACCTCCAATAATATGGTCACTTTACAGAGAAAATAGAATAGTATTATTAATAAATTTACACAGCTTAGAGGCATTGTTAGCTGATAAAACCATGTAATTTGGAGCACAAGAGTTTAAACTACTTATATCTGGTCCCAATTGTGGCTCTACTGTTATTTATCTGTTTGTGACTTTGGACACGTTAATTAAGTTAATTCATTCCATTCTTTTCCACAAACGATGGTGAGCACTACCTCCTAATGGGTTAATGCGGCAACATTGGTAAAATACTTGTTGGAATCCTGGCACATGGTGAAGAGCAAAAAGATCATCTATATACCATCAATGTAAGTATTATATGATATACTTTTATGTCTGAGTGATTGTAGTTGTACGCTTCAGTGATTTAAAAGTGTTTTGAAGCCCCTCTTGCCCCACGTATTTGTAGCTACAGAACATAATATCTTCTTCTAAGTAGGATAGAATACTGAAAGGCAGACCACAGTGAGCAATAGGAATAAATTCCTGGTATTCATACTGCTCACTGGGATTCTTATTCTATCCTGTCCACTGGAGTTCTTATTATGCACTAGACAGTGCATTAAATAAGACGACTCAAAATTCCTGTTTGATATAGGAAAAAAAGTATTCTTTTTCTGTTTTCCCTGAACTTCAGAATGAAGTCCAAAGCTAGTAGCTTTAGTTTACTTAAATCAATTTGCTATTGATAAAGTCTTAAGAAAATGGCCTACTTTGTGAGGCTAATTCACTTTTGTCCCAGGAATGTAATGAGCAAAACTCTTGGCTATAAGGTCAACAGAACACAAGAAATATAGGTTTCAGGTTTCAGACACTTGTGGATAGGTTTGACATACAAAACATGCTCAGGCTATTGGTAATAGCACTCTCTACCTGCTGATTCAAGAGGATAAATCATGCAAAAAAAGTCCATTGTGACAAAATAAACTATTTAGCTAATTAGGAGTAACTTAGAATTTATCAAATTAGTTTATATCACATAGATTCAGGTGACTTTTTTTTCACATCAAAGTGAAGACCAGATGTTTCGTATTCAGATGGTCCAATGCAAGACACTTCAAAATATTGCACCATTTGAAATCATAAATGACTAGGACTAAAATTGAAAAACCAACTGCCATCGTGAGTTATGAATTAGAAAGAAAACAAGAGATCTTTTCTATTGGAGACCACAATAGTTCTGAGAGCTTGCCTACCAGGAGATTTTCTTTTAAAGTATGATTATCATTATTATTACATATATAAGTAAATTACATATGACCAGAATTCATTGTTTATTTTAGCCAATCACTTCTTTATTCTGAGAGCTGCTCCCTTCCCCACTAATGATTAATAAGAGAATGTCTGTTTTATATAATTTGCTTCACTGATCACCAGTTGATTGGTCCAAGAATTGGTGGCTGACCCAAGCTGAACTAATAAAAACGGCTTCAGGGAATTTTGAAATTGGAGGTGAGAAACAGAGTCAAATATTACAGGGAATAAACTGGAAAGTCGTAAAGCCTCAGTGCTGACAGCAGTAATGTTTGGTATAATATAGACTGGAAAGCCAGAGAAAGCATGAAGCATACACACAGGGAGAGAAAGAGACAAGAGAAAGAAAGTCTGGATGGCTTTGGAATATCTACTTCCACTCAGTTCTTAGATCTTGTAAATATCTCATTTCTGTAACATTTCCATTGTTACTTAAGCTAATGTAGGTTGGGAGTGTCAAATAACTCCCCAACAGTTATTTTCCCTCCCTTCCTCAGTAGTAGAAGAAGTATATAGAATTGTTACTAGACAAAAGGACAAATTTCCCAGGTTTCCTTGAAGCTGGATGTAACCACGTAATCAAGTTCTAACCAATCGACTGCAAGGCAATATAAGATATGCAACTTCAGAAATTGCGCATTTTAAAAATGGAGTTTCCTATCACTCCTTCTTTCTCTCTTTTGCTGGAGACAAGGTGGGCACAATAAGTGGGGCTTCAAATGGTCATCTAGACACACAAAGTGGACGTCACGCACTGAGTGTGATAATGCAAAACGTTAAAAAGAGTCTGTTTCTTTGATAACTCTGGGGCCACTACCCTACCTCTGGACAACTTATGTTTCCATGAAAGATAAATAAGCTTTTATCTTATTAGGCAATTGTTATTTTGCATTTTCCCTATCTCGCAGACAATCTTACGCTTAACCAATAATACATCGGTTTTCTGTCACTTGGAAACAAAAGATTTATAACTAATATATCATCTTATTCGTTTATAATCACAAATTCCTTTTGTTTCCACTTGTCATCTAAATGGATGTGATAGAAATGACTAATATCTTTGCCATCTGTTACTTAATATTTGCCATTTTACTTAAGCCAAAGTTCATTATTTCATTCAAATTGACCCATTCTACAACTGATGGCTTCTGACAGTAGTGATGCATTGTGGTCCGTCAGCTATAAACTGAACTTGAGTGCATTGAATGGAGTGTCTTTATTCTCTGCACAATGATATCTGCTGATATCAACCGAAGCTTCCCGTGTTAATACTGGAAGCTTGTGTCTCAGTAGAATGGAAGACAGCCCTTCAAAAATTCTTTCACATGAAATGAGATGACTCTGTTTTAACACAAGACTTGCATATTAAATAAAATGAAAAGTTAAAATAAGAAGCACAAGATATTATATTTATCTAAAGAAAGTAAAATGGAAACAATCATCATTTTGTTTTGTTTTTCTTTATAGTAGTTTCACCTTGTATGTTCAAATTACTTATATAACTTGTTCTTTAAGGAGAAAATATTTGCTGGAGCCTATACACTAAGTCCTCAGCTCCTAGCAATTTGTCATCAGCATGTCATTTTACCTAAATACATATGTTTGTTGTTGTTATTTCTTCAAAATTGATTTGTACCATTCTCTCTATCTATGTAATCATAGAGTTGGAAGAAATTTGGAACACCTTTTCCAAGAATGAAACTCCAGTCAATCAGAAGATTTTCGTAAATCAGGAACATGTAACAAGATGTCATATTGTTTGAATAATATGATATTGATTGGGAATTTCTGTTTCCCTGGGATTTGTATTAGAGTATTAAGGTAAAAGAAAACCAAGGACGTGGTATCTACATTTTAAAGAAAGCTACCCATAACTGGGGCCAGATATTCTCATTCAAGCCTTATTAAGGGACCGAAGAGTGGGCCCTACCATAACCATAATAAATAACCTCCTCCTACTCACAGCTCTTGGCTAAAATATTGAAAACAGAAGAATGAAGAGAAGGAGGACGATAAGATGAGAGGTTGTCTCCAGGCTGCTGGAAAGTACAATATTCTTTATGAATGAAAATTCCTTCCCTTCTAAATGGGAAAAGTAGAAGAGTGCTTTAATGGAAGCCAAATGAGAATAGTTTTATGAGAATCATTCCTAAAGGTTAAATGTGGGTTTAAGTAGAATATTTGTTTTGCCTTTGGGTCCAGCTGGGGTGGGTACTGGTTGGAGAGGGAGGAGAAAACTAGACATAAGGTAGATTAGAGAGAGAGAGGGAATGAGAGAGCAGCTCTTAAACTGATATACCTCACAATTTGCTATGGAAAGAGTGCTTGAGTTTTCCATTGGTTAACTGGGCACCTCTGAGAATACTTTATAATACTTTATTGTGCTATTGTGAATTGGAATTCTACTTAAATGAAGAAAAATGTCAAGAAAATTAAATATTCAACATGAAAGAATTTTAATAATATCTTGAAAATAAGTAGTAAATAATATTCAGACGTTGCCACTATAGTTGTTAGATTTTCAAAACTACTTTGCAGGTCATAATTTTCTTTATGAATATTATCAATAAAACTTCAAGGGACACTGTAGTATACCTATGATGTATCACTAATAATAGCGAAAAAATATTAAACAAAGGTGAAATTATTGACTCAGTACCAATATTCCAGTATATGCAATTACACATTGAGGAGGCAGCATGTACAAAATAAATAATTTATCAATAATATGATGAATATTTTTCTAGTATTTAAATTTTCCCTTCTGCAACAACCTTCTTCTAAATCATTAGAACTTTAATTCACCACTTGTAAAAACTATTCAATGTTATTTTGTGCTAAAGTACTACTGATAATATATCTGTAGTGGTATTAGGCCAAATCAACAGTCACACAGGATAATTTTTTTATTGTGAAAGAGTATTCCATGCAAGGCAGGATATCCACAATCTCTCTGACAACTTCCAGAGGTGCCCTACAGTCACTGGGATAACTCATAAAAAGTGCCTGTAATTCTATAACGGTTACTAGATGGTGCCTCCTGCCCTTTGAGAATGGCTGAGCTGGAGCCTATATGGTGAGGGACGTGTTAATCCCAGAGGCCGACTCCCAACCACCGTACCACACATATTTTTTCATACCAAAATTCTGCAATAGGAAAAGGAGGGAAGAGTAGATTATGGCATTACCGTGCAGGTTCCTTGAACCAAGGTTCAAGTCTGTACACAGGTGAGGGGAGGAGATGAGATAAATCAACTTTGAGTTTAGGATTTTAAACCATATTGACTATTATAACTGAACATGGAAACATGGAATCTATGAAAAATTGGGGTTCCACAATGCACAGTGAAATACAACGATTGGGGCAATTGTTTCTTTTTTATTGTGCACTGTATTGAAACTGCTCAAAATTGGTTATATTTGTATAACTTTAATCATTAAAATAATGATTTGGTCAGAGAACAGATTGGAATAGCCTCTGAGTCATTAGACTACTTTAGGCTTTTCATATTGCCTTACAAGAAGCTTTTGTATTTCAATCATGTGCAGAGAGAACTACTACATTTATTGATTACATCAGGAGCTAGAAGCACTTTGCCTACATTACCCTGCAACAACTTCAGAGAGCTCCATCAAGTAGTCTTTACTATGCCCACATTACAGGTTGAAAAATTGAGACACAGAGAGCACTGGTAACACGCTCAGGATTACATAACTAACAGATGACTAATTAAGTCTGGCATTCAAATTACTATTTGTCTAAAATGCCTGTCAAGTTGTTTTTCATGTTCAACTTCAAAATTTAAAGATGTTCTGGCATCTCTGAAAGAAGTTATCCACATGATTAAGGAATACATGAAAAAGTTTTCCTTTCCTGGTACTTCCAATATCTACTTTCAAAAATATAAACAATACTTCCTGAAATTTTGGTTTGGGGCCAAAGTTTAAATTTATTCTACTAAGCAGTATTGGAATCCCATGTTAAAACACATTATCAAAATAAAAACACTCTACATGAAGTAGTTGTTATTAAGAAAAAATGAACTTAGCCAATAGGATAGAGGCAACCAGGTTTCCATCAAGGTGAAGGGATAATTCAGACATAATAATTCATCTCAATTGCCCCACCTGCTCCACAGTAAATGTTCCAAAAAGACTGTATTCCTATCAGAGATGAAGGGAACGAAGAAAGAAAGGCATAAGCAATCTTTTACATGCAAAAAGGATTACACAGCATAAATTATTTAATCAGTTTATATATAATTAAGTGAGGAGTTGTGGCCATGGACATAAAGAGTAAAATGAGATTTGACTTTAATACTTAACATGGTATTAGATGGCTTCCCACTGAAATAAAATTACTTCCCTAAAAAGTTGACCAATAGTTTTATATGGAAATCTACAAGGGACTTGCATTTGAAGAACATGAAGAACATGAAAGGTACACATAAACTAATTATTTTCTTTTCTTGAATAATAACAACGTTGTCTCATTGGTATTAATGAAGTATTTATTGCAGGAAGAAGGAATCCCTACTACCAGACTCAAATATTGTTATAATTTCAATTTTCCTACATTAAGGGCAATATTGCTCTAATCTTTTCATGCTACACTTTTCAAAAATTTTCCTCTGGCTAGACACAGTAGATCATACTCTTCAGAACAAAATTTTGAAAGTTTAAAGATGAAGAGGTGTTTAATAACTATAAATACAGAATATTCAAATAATTATAATTTCAAAGTTAAGTGACGGCACTCAGCCCACAGCCTAGTGGACACCAAGGTGTCGCAAGAATAATTTTCCCAAATAAGCATCTTCCAAGTGTTTGATTTATCATCTGTTCCTCCCCGACTGTCCTTTTTTACCTCACAATTTTGCCCTTTCCATTCTTTCCCTCATTTACTTTACTGCAACTCACATGTCTCCTTTATTCCCCACTTTAATTTAAAGCGTACCCTGAGGTTGCAAACATTATCAATTTAAGTTTAATCATCACTTTTTTTTATACTCTATAGGTGGAGTGTTTCAGGTTTTTAATTTTACTGTCTGACAAACCCTAATGATTGTTTCTTGATGGCCATTTGATAACAGTTTAAAAACTCCTCCCCATATTTATTTAGATACTGTAAATGTTGAAAAAACTAAAATTATGTATGAAACCAGAGAAAAGAAGGCGGAGCATTTGGAGGTTTAGAACTCACAAGGAAAGAGCTCTCCATGGGAACAAGAAAACAAACAACCCACTAAAACATGGGCTGAAGACCTTAACAGACACCTCAACAAAGAAGATATACAAATGGCAAACAAGCATATGAAAAGATGCTCACATCATATGTCATCAGGGAAATACAAATTAAAACAACAATAAAATACTACTAACTACCAATTAAAATGACAAGAGACCAGAACACTGACACCACCAAATGCTGGAGAAGATACGGAGCAACAGGAACTCTCCCTCATGGCTTGTGAAAATGCAAAATAGTACAAACACATTGGAGGAGGGTTTGGTGGTTTCCTATAAAACTAAACATACTCTTACCATATGATGTAGCAATTGGGCTCCTTAATATTTACCCAAGGGAGTTGAAAACTTATATCCACATAAAAGCCTACATATGGATGTTTATAGCAGCTTTATTCATAATTGCCAAAACTTGGAGTGACCAAGATGTCCTTCAGCAGGTGAACAGATAAATAAACTGGTACATCCAGATAAGGAATATTATTCAGTGCTAAAAAGGAATGAGCTATCAAGCCATGAGAAGACACAAAAGAAGCTTAAATGCATATTACTAGG